GGTTGTGAATACTTTGGAAGATGATATGGTCTAAATGAAAAGGAAATGAAAGGACGAGGGACATTGGTTGTGTTGAGTCACAATAGAGATAAATATCTTCAAGCGGAAAATACTGTTTTGAGAGCTTCAAAGAAGAAGATTTAGAAGTTAGTAATTGTTGTAGTTCATGGTCTGTGAGTTGTGCTGAGGCTAACTGTTTGAAATCCAGAATAGGTGAGGGCGAGAAACAGAATCTACTTCTATTCAGGAGAATGTGTCAGGCAATTAACATTTTCCCTACCTTTAACATATTGTATATCAGTGGAAAATTGAAGAGATCTAGTCAAGGTGTTCTCAGTTGTCGGAGGAGAGCACTTTTCTGCTTTTTGTCTTGAAAGCGAATGTTAGTGGTTTTTGGTCGGTAAATATGATGAAAGTTGCGACATTCTAACATGTGCCGAAATTTCCTGATAGACTCATATATTGCCAGAAGTTCGCGGTCATATGTTGTCCATTTCCGTTGACTGTTATTCAATTTTAAAGAAAGGAATGCTATTGGCTCCCATTGACCATTTTGGAGTTGCATGAGAGAGCTGCCAATAAGACATTAGATGCATCGGTCCAAAGACTGAGTTGAGCACCAGGAATTGGATGTCTTAAGAGGATATCTTTTGCAAGAGCTTCTTTAGCTTCTAAAAATGCCTTTTTCGGCACCCTCAGACCACGGAAGAGGATTTTCAGTCTTCTTAGTTGGACGGAATGATTTCTTTTTGTTAGAATGACCTTCAAGAAGCTTAATTAAAGGTGACAAAATGTGCACTGTATGTGGCACAAATCTGCGATAAAAACTGAATAGGCCAAGAAATCTGCGAAGCTGTGTTAAGTTTGTTGGTCTAGGAAATTTAGAAATGGCATCAACTCGATCTGGAATGGGAGAACTCTATAGTTCTTCTTAGAGACTTTATATCCTAAGAAATCTAAGGTAGGAAGAACTCCGAATATACACTTTGAGCGTTTGATTGCTAAACCATAATGATCTAATCTTTCAAAGAGAACTCGTAGATTGTTAATATGCTCTTTGTGGCTTTTTGAGGCAATCAAAATATCATCAATAAATGCATATACACCGGTTAAACCTCTCGTCACCTTCATCGATAAACCTTTGAAAAGTGCTTGATGCATTGCACAAACCAAATTGCATCCGAGTACTCTCGAAAAGTCCAAATGGTGTGCAGATAGCAGTTTTATGGACATCCTCGGGAGCAATCGGAATTTGGTGAAATGCTTTGACTAAATCTACATGGGAGCATACGTTGCACCCATGGAGTTTACTTGTAAATACTAGGGATTCGATATTCGTCCTTTTTAGTCTGAGCATTAAGGGCTCTAAAATCATCGACAGGACGCTAATCATTCATATCTTTTCTAGGGACCATATGCAATTGCGAAGCATAATTGCTGTTGGATGGGGGAATGTGGCCTAAATCTAACAGATGTTGAAATTCAATTTTTGCAATTTTCAAACGATCGGGGGCAAGCCGACGTGGTTTGGCAAAAACGGGAGGGCCAAAAGTTTCAATATGATGCTGAACTGAATGTTTGACAATTTGGTTTGCACAAGGAGCTTGAACAATAAGAGGAAATTCATTGAATAACTTAGCATAATGATCATTACAAATTAGAGATTTCACTGAATATATACTAGCAAACATGTTAAATACCATGACAATCTAATTTGGTGTAAGTATCGTTTAAGCGACGATTTCTAAGATCTGGTTTATGTTAAAATAATGTAAGAAATCTGCCCCAATTATAGTAGTTTGAACATTGCATACGTAAAATGGATAAACAAACAGTTTTCTTAAACCTAAATCTAAAGATAATAACTTTTGTTTATATACATTTATCTTAGTACCATTTGCAGCCAGAAAAGTTTAAATAGGAGTAGTCATTTTTATCAGATCTTGAGGCTGGAATTAAGGAACAATCACTGCCTGTATCAATTAAAAAATTAATATTGGTTTTGAGATCACGAACAAATAGGCGATGAGAACTAGAAGGCGAGGCGTATGTCACCGCTACTCCTTGCCTTGGAAATTTCCCTGAAAATTGCAGGGTGGAGTACACTTTTTGCTCTAGAAGCAAATTTTTGGTGGTACCAACATAGATAACTTTTTTCAGAGGTTTTCTCACGATTTGTTGCATGACGAAAATTACGATTACGAGAATGACACCTTGAGCGTCGTAGAAATGAAGCTTCCTTGCAAAGCGATTTTATCTCTTTAAGCAGTTCAGAGTTCGGTGTAACAATAGTTGATGCACAAGAATTAGAAACTACGCTTACCTGAGCAGTTGACACTTCCAAAATTTTATCCGCTATTTGAGCAGCCTTTTGTACGGTTAGAGGGTTGATTGATGCTAAAATAGATTGCACATTTGTAGGTAGTTGCTGCATAAATAATTACACAACAAAAGTATCCGTCACGTTATGATTTTCAGCTAGCTGCTGCATAACGCGTAAAAGTTCATACGGCTTTTGATCTCCTAGTTACTCACCCGCAAGTAAGTGACATATTTTCTGCGATTTACTTTCATCACAGCGAGAAATGACTTCATTCTTCAGTTTGGAACCGCTAATTCAAAAGTAGATTCCACCATCGTGAACCATAGAGATTGATCAGAAGGAATGAAAGGAGGTATTTTCACTGCTGATATTTCATCCATTGTTTATTATGTTTGGATTAGTTTCGTTTTCATATTTTGTCCAAATTCCAAGAAACGATCAAAAGATGTGCGTTGTACAACGTCGGTCACCAATGTAAATGTTCCATGGTGAGGCAAGACACAGGTATAAAATATATAAACTTTATTTAACACATCAATAATAACATTCCGATGAGAAGGGAAATTCCCGTTTTATGCACACCGCTCTCTCATCACCATCTACCGCTCATCCGAGGCGAGCATGCGCAGAACTCACAAAACTTCGTACGGTGTTTCTATAGTCCAACACAAATATTATCTATGCCTGAATTTCACTTTTGTAATACCATTTAAAAAATAAAATAGATCCCTAAGTATGACACATCACTATTAAACATGAATTAATTACTGAAAGTTTAAAATTAAAGTTCGAGAATAAAATAAACTTTATGCAATTTATCAAGTAGCATTAAATATTTTACACTTATAATAGTTGGACATATTTGAAAGAAGATAAGTGGCATTTACATTTTACTAACAGTTGGCTTTATGTTGATTTTTTTTTTTGTGTCTCATACTTGTTCAGTCTAGAGTTAGGATGTCAAACTCGCGGTCCACAAAAATATTTTTGCGGCCCGGCCAATATATCGGCAAATAATAATATATAATAATAAAATAACATATCGACGAAGAAAAAAATTAAATGTTTACTGCTAAGTAATTAACGATAATTTATTCAGTGTTGTTAGATTACTCACAGCGAGCGGACACACACAGACTACTTGAATTACAAATGCGTGAGAGTAGCTTGCATTCAGCTACCTTCGGCTTTTGGGGAACACGTGCACTCAGAACTTGTACGCATCCCCCGATAGCCGAACTCATGGTCTCAGTTTTCCAATCATAATTTTGTACGATATATTGGTGCATGCACTTTGCTTTATTATTAATTATTACTTAATTCATATTGTTACGGATTTCATAGTTATTTATTTAGTTTTTTTTTTTTTATTTAGAATTGTAATTAGATTTGCTTCTCTCGAATTCGGATTTGTTCCCTCGAAGACAAATTTTTTTTGGTTTTTTCGATTTTTCTCAATAAGTATTGACTCAGTACCCAGCCATATGCAAATGGAGGTGATCGAGATTCAATGCAACTCAAATTTGAAAGCAAAATTCACTCAAGTGGGCGTGCCTGAATTTTACAAATATTTACCAGCCAGGTTTGAAAATACTTGAAAATTTGTATATGAAATTATTTCCATGTTTGGTAGCACTTATCAGTGTGAGCAGTTATTTTCAGTCATGAAAGGTAATAAGTTTCCTATTAGAAACCGTATTAATGATGCTTATCTTGGGTCAGCGTTGAAAGTTATCACGGAAACAAAATTTCTCCCGAAATAGGAAAGATAATAGCAGAGAAGAGATGTCAAGTATCAGGACGTAAACATTAAATTTTTCTTGTCTTTCTATATAAATATATATATATTTATTATTGTATTATTCGAAATAATCTACGTTTCTATGAATATTGATTTTTTTTTTTTTTTTTTTCGGCCCGCAAAGTTAAACCTTGTTTGTTTGGCCCAAGTGTACCTATGAGTTTGACATCCCTGGTCTAGAGGTTTAGTAAATAGCAGGTAAATTTTATGTCAAGTGTCATATGTTAAAATGAGAAGCAAGATCATAATCAACATGATTTATAACCAAAAGACTGAATGTTGTCACTGCTGCTTCTTGTCTAGAGAGAGACCTGCTGATTAGAACAAACCTAAAAGGCCTGTTGTTGGCACAGTTTGCAAGTTTTGAAAGTTAGTTGGGCTTTGTTTGATGCAGTTAGTGTCATAGCTTCGTGTAGAGTTCCAGGGGTTGTAACTCAGTTAATATACTTTAAGGTTCCAATAAGACATTAAAGCACCACAGGCGATAAGTTATTTTGTATTATTTTAAGTCTCACTAGATGCAAAGAACATGTTTTACTTAAATTTTCTGTGTTTTATTTTGTGACCACGGTGAGGATTAATGAAAGGCAATAACTTTAATATGCAGAGATAATTTTTAAGGGTAAGCAGATGGTTCTAAGCAATTAAATTAGGTAGTTAGATAACCTTCGTCATTATGGATTTACATAATCACTATAAAATTTTATAAAAATCTAATAAAATTTCACAGTTTAAAATATATGTAAATTATGACATTGATTCTTGCGCAATATTAGGATACATTAAAAGCTACAAAACATTTACAAGGGGTGATCAAATGAAAAGGCACGAAACGACGTAAAAACGCGTAACAGTTAAATATTTGCATATTCCGCCATGGAAGAACGTAGTGAAACATCTCGGGATGTGATTAGAGTGTCTGACTGGGATCGGAGCATGCGCGGGCGCCGCGGCAGTCCATATGAGGACACGATGGCGTTCGCATTGCAAAATTCAATGACTGAGGAGCAGCGAGATATTATCAGATTTCTGACAGCAGAAGGTGAGAAACCGGCAGCTATTCATCGCCGGATGGTGACAGTTTACGGGAAGAAATGTGTCTCTGACAAGTCTATCAGAAAAAGAAGTGCCCGTTTTCGTGCAGGCCGTGAGATTGTGGGTGATGACCCAAGACCAGGCCAGGCAAACACTGTCATCACGTGCGATCTCATCGACAAGGTGGATGACCTAGTGAGAAGTGATTGGAGTGTGTGACTGGGATCGGAGCATGCGCGGGCGCCCGCATGCGCATGAGTGAGCAGAGGCTCTTATCAAAAGCGACGTCCAAATGATGCGGCAGTCCGTATGAGGACAGGATGGCATTCGCGTTGCAAAATTCGACGACTGAGGAGCAGCGAGGTGTTATCCAATTTCTGACAGCGGAAGGTGAGAAACCGGCAACTATTAATCGCTGGATGGTGACAGTTTACAGGGAGAAAGGTGTCTCTCACAAATCTGTCAGAAAATGGAGTGCCCATTTTCGTGCAGGCCGTGACAGTGTGGGTGATGACCCGAGACCAGGCCAGGCAAACACTGTCGTCACGAGCGATCTCATCGACAAGGTGGACGACCTAGTGAGAAGTGATCGGCGTGTCACATCGCGAATGTTGGCGGTGAAGGTGGACGTCAGCTATGGAACCGTGTGGACAATTGTTCACAACAGGTTGTGATATTGGAAGGTGTGTGCCGCTTGGGTTCCGAAGCAGCTCACCGACCAGCAAAAGGAACTGCGTATGGGTAACTGCAACATCTGTTTCAGTATCAGGAAGACCCCGCTTTCATGGAGCGGATCGTTACAGGTGATGAGACTTGATGCCATCACTACGAGCCAGAGACAAAGTGGGACAGCATACAGTGGAAGCATGCGTCGGCACCTCCCCCTAAAAAGTTCAAAGCTATTCCGTGCTGTCAGCAGGCAAGGTGTTGCTCACCGTCTTTTTCGACGTTCAAGGTCCGCTACTTGTGGAATTCCTCGAGCACAGAAAAAACATTAACTCCGATGTGTACTGTGAGACACTTTGACGCCTACGCAGGTCCATCAAAACAAAAAGGCCGGGCTGCTCATGGAGGGTGTGGTTCTGCTCCATGATAACGCACGTCCACACGTCTCTAGAGTCACACACATGGAACTGGCCAAGTTCAAGTGGGAGACGTTGGACCATCCGCCCTACAGTCCGGATATGTCACACTGCGATTTCCATGTGTTTGGTCCACTGAAGAAACACGTGAAAGGGAAGCGCTTCAACTCGGACGACGAACCAGAGGACGCTGTGAAGGACTGGGTCTCATCACGGCCACAAGAATTCTGGGAACAAGGAATCCTGCGGCTTTTTCATCAGTGGGATCGTTGTGCTCAGGCCTATGGTGTATATTTTGAATAAAGTCTACATGTGTACCCACCGTGTCGTTTCGTACCTTTTCATTTGATCACCCCTTGTATGCCTTGCAACAACACTCAATGAAATATTTATGCCTCATTTTAATTTGAAGCCTTCATAGACATTTTGGTTAATTTTTATCGATTTCCTTCTCTTTTTTTAAGCATCTTTTCTAACAATCAGAAATTTGTCTCAATACACAAACCAATGTTCTGACTAGTTTCTGCAGCTTGTCAACCTCTCCACAACATACCTATGAGGGTTTACTTGATCTGGTAAAAGTTAAATAGTCCAAAACCCCCAACAGATGTGAAGCATATTATCGTTATGCCTGAAATTAACTACAATATCAGACAAAGGTTTCTTATTTAAAAAGAACTTAGAACATAAAGGCATGTTCTGATTCTAACAAAATGAATTACAATTCATGGTGGCGTTATGAAACAAGAACAGTCAAACTTTATTGGTCAAAGATTATACAATTTAATTTAAATTTAAACTGGCTCAGTAACTCTACCATATGAGGAAATAAAAACAGGAAATTATAGTAAAATCTGAAATCAAACAACTGGGTAATTTACATAATAACTGTACATATCTTTGAAGAATAATTTTCTTCGTGTATTGTTTCTCTCTTCAACAGGTTTCTTTTTCATTTTAGAATGTATAGAAAAAGCGGCTAATTTTATTACTTTAGTAATATGAAATATATATGGTAAGGTTCGGTTACAGAGCTGGTGTGGCAAAATTTTTAGAATTTAGTGACATACCGAGCAACAAAATCTAGAAACAGCAAAACTTTTAGAATTTAGAGCAGACATTGGAAGCAGAATTTAGAAAGGCACTAGGCAGCAGAAAGGTTGCACAGAGAAGATTGGATCAAAAGGGAAAATGCCTACTGCCAGATCGGTGTATGATGTATTAAGAAAAATTGAAAATTTAGGCTTTTAAAAGATTCATCTAATATGAGATGAATCTTTTAAAAGCCTAAGTTTTCAATTTTTTTATTAATAAAAAAATTCCGTTCTATAATGCCTGGCCATGTGATAAGATTATAAGCATTTTTGATCTTTTCCATACTCGTGTCTACTGAAAATAAAAGGAAGACAAACATGTTAAGAAAACGATTCTAGTATCAAAAGTAAAACATTCAAATGTATTATGTTTTCATTATTCTTCCAGACGTTATCCAAAAAGTAAGAAATTGATCGCAAAATTTCTGTAAAATACATCCATTACGTGTTAATAATATGAAGACATTTTTTTATTTTGTCACTTATCTCTGGAATCTTCTAGAATCATGGGTCTATAAATCTTGCCTTCAAATTCTTTTAAACTTTCCAAGCTCCAATGTCTAAAATTCTAAAGAAAAATTATCCTTACCAATTCTGTAACAGCAAAACTCCAAAAATATTTTTGGAAAAAAAGAGAGAGAGAGAGAGAAAGTGTAAAAATAATTTTATAGAGAAAACTGATGCATATTCTAATACAATTGCATGGGAAAAACTCTTACTATAAAAAAATTAAGAAGAAGACATTTTCAATTAATTACATAGCTAATTCTTCTTTTGCTAAGAAGTGTTTTGTAAATTGTGCTTTATACTTACATTTTCTATACATTATACCTTGTTTATTTTTCAAACTCAAAATATTGTATTATAAGTTGCCAAAATGAAACTTTATAATATGCAGCGAAAAATAAAAATGCTTTATTTTAATGTTATTTTTAAATATAATTTCAATATATTACTATTTTAATGATTTTTAATGAAATTTATCAACGTTACGTTTTAAAAACAAGTGTCGAAAAATTCCCAGATATCGGAATTAAAAACTTTCTATAGAAACTGATCTTAAAATCGCCAAATTCAGAACCGTTTAATAAAGTTGTTAAAGAGCTCTTCTTAGGAAAAATGAATTCTGAAATGCTTATGTTTGACTTAAAATCGCCAAAATGTTTGCTAAGAAACTCCAGTACCCCACCATTTCTATTAGAAATAGAAACCAATTATAATCCATGAACCCATTCAAAAGATAACCATATATGTCAGTGAATCGCCAAATATATTCCTCCAAAATGATAATTCACACTCAAAATGGCAGTTTTTAAAAAAAGACATTTCTGATGATTAAAATTAAGGACCTTCTGCCGATTTTGACCAAAAATAAGGACTTTTATGTACCAAAAATCGATTCCAAAAAACTTAAGGACTCTTAAGGATTGTACGAACCCTGCTTATTTGTAAGTTTGGCTTCCTATCCTGGGATTGTACTGCAACTGACATGCAGTCCTTGGGAAAGTGGCGGTGCTACAGTTTTTGCGATTTATTTAGCTATTTTTAGTAGAATTAGTAATTAAGATTGTTTGATATTCCCGTGCAATGCAGCACGAGACTTATTTGAAGAGAAAGGAATGCCGGAAAAATTAAAATACAGGAACACCTGCATTTAACATTTTAATAAATAGATACCTCGCAATTGCTTTTGCTATCCAGAAAAATTTTAAAAATACGAGATGTGCATACGATCGTGCATCATTTAAAAAGCTTATAAATTCTGAAGGAAAATATCTAAATTCAGTTGTTTACTCAATTCTTGTGGTTTATTGTAGAGCATTCGCGGTGAGATAGGATTAACCTTCTCTGTTTTGAATAGAGTTCTGTTAAATGTTTTAGTAGTTTATAATATAACTACTGTGAGATACTGCAACAATATCTCTGAGGAAATTTCAGCATTTTTATTTTATTTGTTGTGATAAGAATAAAACTTTATTCCCTTTTCATGAGACTTGTGTGTTATTAGGAACCCGTATGCACGCAACAGTATAAAACACAAGTAATTAATTCTTCTTGGATTGATTTGTAGTAGTTGAATGAAATGGTTGCATGCCTTTTATAAAATAACTGAATGGCTAAAAATGCAGAGCACTTGAAACTCTTTAATGTAAACTACAACATTTGTCTTCTTTTAAAGTCAGGTTCTGAAGATGAATGGATGTGCAAGAGAATGGTTTCTTCAGCCAATCGTAAGTGATGAAAAATATCTGCTAAATAAGCTAGCATCTGCACCCACATTTGATCCACACAGTATTTAGTAAAACCTTATTTGTTGTTTTGTTGAATATGTGCATGCATCTCTTCCTTTAACTTAAAAACACTATTAAAAACTCTGCCTTTACTTAATCACCGAATTTCAATGTCTTCTTATACAAGAGTAACAATGCATTAATGCAGCCAACCACGGAAGCTACACCGTCCATACAAATGCCAATATAGTTCTTCTAAGAAAGATTTTTTTAACAGATATGCAGGTAAAATATTAAATATATCAATTCCTATGTTTCTCTCAAGTAATTCTTTACAGTACGGGAAGTCTTCTTAAACTCCTCCCTTATAAACAAATGCTAGAACATAACATTTGTTGGTTAAATCTGTTGACTCATCCATTTTGAATTGAAACGTTATCATTTTTCAGTTTATTACACAAAATCTTCAAAATCATGTTGTATTCAACTTACTGTATTGTTCATAAGTAGAACATTTTCAATTTTCCTTACTGCATCTTCTCCCAACACTTTACCCACTATAATTTCACATACCAGCATTATCAACATTCTCACTGATTGAGTGAACTTTCACTTTTCTGTACAATAAGCTCTGTTACCAAAAACTTGCATCCTGAGCCTTTTCACTAACTGATAATATTTGTCAAAAACTATAGTCTGAGATTTTAACAGTTTTAAAATAACAAATAGATTTATTTTTCATATTAATGTTTTTTTGGAGTTTCTTTCACAGTGAAGAAGGCACTCTGTATCACCAATCCATGTAAAGCCCA